GATATCCTCTACAGATAATTTGGAGAATAGAATACTCTCATATTATATATCTATATCTTTTCAGGACATAGAAAAATGTGGAAAGTTTCCTGACTTATTTTATTAAACTAGAATAATTCCGGTAATAAGTTAGACGAGGAAAATCTAAATAAACAATTAAGCAGAAATATTTAGCAAGCCAATTTCATATTTAAAAAAAACATGATGTATAAAATTTTAATTAAATGCTTGATCTGAATTCATTAGTGCATTAAAAAATTTATTCATAATAGTCAAGTTAAGGGTTATCAAGAGAAAGCTAGAATGGTTCAAAATTAAGAAATCTTTTAATGTAATTCACAACATTGACAAAAGAAAATCATACGACCATCTCAATAGAAGCAAACTATTTGAAAAATATAATCATGTGGTCGATTTAAATGTCCTAAATTTAAAAAGCAAGTTATAAAATAATATATATAGTATAATCAAATTTGTGTTAAAACAAAAAATATATAAATATATGTGCAAAACATAAATATATGTGCAAAATATATAAATGTATGCAAAAGCATAGAAAGATCAAGAGAAGAGCATACACCAAGCTATTGACTTGATTCTGGGGCAGGAATTGGAGGTAGAGAGGAAGCATTATAAATAAGGACTTTCCCATTTTATTCTATGCATAACCATACTGTCCGAATCTTTCTTATTAAAGGAATGTATCCAGTATAGATTTTGTGATTGAAAAAAAAAAGAATATGACACGATACTATTCGTTTGGAAAAGATGGAGTACTGACAAGTATTATAGATGCAACATCTGACGAACTGCTCTGGAAAACCACTACAGGTATATAACTAAATCGATGTTTGATGCCTATTATAAACAAAGCAAACACATTATAAAATCTTCTTAAATGTATTTAATTATCCTGCCTCATCCTCTTCAGATAATAAAAAGGCTGGAGGGGATCAGTGCAGTAAGAGTTGGGGGTTCTGGAAAACCTCTGGACAGCTGCTTTTCCTAAGTCAGAAGCAGACATTAAATATTTCTGCTGCCTCTGAAACTGAGGTCAGTAAAGTCCAAGAGGTTAGTTTCATTGTCATAAATTGTTCCAAAGTCTACGGACCTCTATAAAAGTCAGTAAGACAAGGAATCCAGTACATTCAGGTGAACACAATTATTTTTGCATGTAATCTGCCCTAAGATCCTTATTTTAGTTTTAAGCCCTTATATATTTCCATATATTTCCTTCTTTCTCCATTTTCAATATTATCACAATAACATAGACGAGCACCAGTTAGAAAATAAAATGGATTATATCTATAATAGAAACGACGTATATAAAATATCTAGGAAAAAACTTCATAATGCATATGTAATAAAATATATATTAAGAAAAACATAACTCATTTGAGAAATATATATATATATATACATATTTATGTATATATGAAGAAGTTAAATGGACTTTCTCTATTTTTAAAATAGGAAGATTTAAAATTATTGAGATGTCAATATTGCCTAAATGTGACCTAACATTTAATGCAGTGCTTATGAACATCCTAACAGGATGTTATGGGATATAGAATATAAAATATGGAGTAAAGAAATAAAATCTAAACATATACAACCTTTATGATAAAGTTGTTAATCAAAACTAAGCAGGATTCAAATAGCTGATATTCTTGTGGGAGCTACTCAGGCAGAAAAATCTACGTTCTTTGGGCAATCTTGCCAGTCACGTGATTCCAGAAGGCTCTTGTTACAAATCACTTGAGTTCACCAAGTGACTCGGTCATCCACAGGGGCTTGATGGCTCTTCTCAAAGAGTACATAGTCCAGCCCACAAACATTTAGCTTTTCCGTGGCCACCCTTGGACTGACATTCATGACACATTTAAATACCCTGGGAACTCTCCCTCCACTTGGACTTGCTCCGTGGGCCAAGACTCTTCCCTAACCTACTTCCCTCACTTCCTTAGTGTTGTTCATATCGATAAGGCAAGGGAGACATCATTCCAAACAAATCAGAGGCCCATAATCCACTCCACAGCTACCCTCTCCCCACTTCACATACTCATTTCTTTTAAATAAAACCCAGCGGGCCAATGACAGGAAACCCATTTCTCTGACCTCTGTCACCGTCTGGCCCGGAGCACAGTCTATCCTTTCGGATTCAGGGATCTCTGGACATTCGGGAATAAATGACGTTTCTGCATAGGAAATAAAGAACAAAATTAAAAATTCTGTAGTGTGACCACAGTTCCAGGAAGGAAGTAGGCGAAGTGACAGACTTTCAGCCAGCTCTCCAGGCAATGATCCCTAGTAGCTGGCATCTACATGTGCATACAAATTTTAACACTTCTCCAGCTGTTAAGCGCGACTGTTTTGTGTTTGATTCTTTTATATTGAGATATAATTCACAATTTATGTACCATAAAATTCACCCTTTAAAGTGTACAATGCAATGGGTTGTTTAGTATTTTACAAAATTATACAACCAATCACCACTATTTAATTCCAGACATTTTCATCACTCCAAAAAGAAGACACATACCCTTTTATGATCATTTCCTTCCCCTCCTCTCCCAGTCCCTAGCAAATGCTAACCTATTTTCTGTCTCTATGAGTTTGCCTATTCTGAATGTTTCATACAAAGGAAATCATAAAAATACGTGACCTTTGGTGTCTGGCTTCTTGCTCTTGGCATAATGTTTTCAAGGTTCATCCACCTTGCAGCATGAAATGATACTTCGGTTCTTTTAATAGCTGAATCAGATTCCATTGTATGGATACAACACTTTTTAAAATCTGTTCTTCAGATGATACGCATTTGGGTTGTTTCTACTTTTTTCCTATTATACAGAATTCTGCTATGAACAATTGTGTACAAGTTTTCGTGTGAACACGTGTTTTAAATTCTCTTGGTAACATATCTGGAAGTGGAATTGCTAAATAATACAGTTAACTCTAACTTTTTGAGTAACTGCCAAACTCTTTTCCCATTAGCAATATATAAGGGTTCCAATTTCTCCACATCCTCGCCAACACATGTGCTTGTCTGCCTTTTTTATTCCAGACATTTTAGTGGATGTGAAGGGTATTTCATTTTGACTTGCATTTCCCACATAACTGATGATGCTGAATATCTTTTCATGGCTTATCTGCCATTTGTAGATCTTCTACGAAGAAATGTCTGTTCCGAATCTTTGCTCATTTTAAAAATTGAATTTTCTTTTTTGGTTTGAATTGTAAGATTTCCTTATATATTCTGGATACTGACCATTATCAGATTTAGCATTTACAAATATGTTCTCCCCATTCAGTAAATTATCTTTTTACTACCTTGACAGTGTCCTTTGAAATACAAAGTTTTTTTAAAATTTTATTTTGACATCCAATTTGCCTATTTTTTCTTTGGTTGCTATGTTTTGGGTGTCATATCTAAGAAATTGTTGCCTAATCTAAGGTCACGAACATTTATACCTGTGTTTTCTTCTTAGAGTTTTATAGTTTGGGCTCTTATATTTCAATCTTTTACCTATTTTGAGTTAATTGTCATATGTGATGTCGGTTAGGGACCCAACATTATTCCTTTTCATGTGAATATCCAGTTGTTCCAGAATTTGTTTTTGTCTTTTTTTGGTGGATGCTTTTTTTCACTTACTTTCAACAATTTATGATGGTAAACTGGGAAGATATTATTGTACCCATTTGAAATAAAGACCTTCACTCAACATTGGCTATTCTTACTTTAGCCTTTATCACATTTGTGATACCCCCACCCAATATAACAGCATCAGAAGTAGGATCTGGTTCAGTGGGCTCCATGAGCCATCTAAAACCCAAACTCCATCTGAAGTTTGAGGCAACACTCACTGTGGGCATCATAGGTACCCTTCAATACCTTTGTTTTTATTTTTAAAAGACCTCGAAACATCTCTACTACCTTTATGATTGTACACTTGTTTGTATATGTATGTAAATAAAAATTTGTTTTAAAATTGGATTAAAGACTGAAACATATGACCATTACAACTGTAAAACTCATAGGAAAAAAATAGGGAAAGTGCTTCATGAGATTTGTCTTAGCAATTATTTCATGGATATGACACCAAAAGCAGAGACAACAAAAGCAAAAATAGACAATCTGTTAGGATGGCTACATGAAACTAAAAAGCTCCTGCACACCAAAGGAAACCATCAGCAGAACGAAAAGGCAGCCTAAGAAATGGGAACAAATATTTGCAAAACACTTATCTGAAAAAAGGCTAATTTTTCTAAAACATATAAGGAATTCCTACAACTCAATAGCAAAAACAAAACAAAACAAAAACAAAAATGAATAACCTGATTAAAATGGGTTAAAAACTTGGACAGACATTTCTTCAGACATTCGAATGGCTAATAGGTATATGAAAAGATGCTCAACATCACTAATTATCAGGGAACTTCAACTTAAAACCACGATAAGAGCTCACCTCACATCTGTTAGGATGGCTATTAGAAAGAAAACAAAAGATAAATGTGGGTGAGGATGTGGAGAAATTAGAACCCTTGTATACTGAGGTGGGAATGATGCAAATTGGTGTAGCCACTGTGGAAAACAGTTTGGAGGTTCCTCAAAAAATAAAAAATAGAAGTACTATACAATCCAGCAATCCTATTTATGGGTATTTACCCAAAAGAATTGAAATCAAGATATTGAAGAAATATTAGCATTCCCAAGTCATTGTAGCACTATTCGCAATAACCAAGATGTGAAAACAAGCTAAGTGTCCACTGATGGATGAATGAGTAAAGAAAATGCGGTATATACATGGGATATAATTATTACATGGAATGGAATATTGTCCCGCTTAAAAATAAATCTGGTCATTTGCGACGACATGGATAAATTTTGCAGACATTATGCTAAGTGAAATAAGCCACACGCAGAAACGTAAGTACCACATGATTCCATCTATATGATTTATCTAAAGTAGTCAAACTCACAGAAGCAAAATATAGAGTGATAGTTGCCAGGGGCTGGAGGGAGGGAGAAATGGGGTATTGCTAATTAACATGTATAAAATTTCAGTTGTGCAAGATGAAAGAATTCTACAGATCCGATGCATAAAATTGTGCCTATAAATAAAAATACTGTATTATACACTGAAAAATCTGTTAAGACGGTAGATTTCATGGTAGCTGTTACCACAATAAAAATTAAATACAAACTCCTTTTCAACTCATAGAAACATAGCTTCAAAATATCTGAAGGTAAGTCCACTATGACAAACAGTTAAAAGTGGAACTATTCTGCATTAATTCGAGTGTGGTGAATGCAGGTGTGAAGATCTAGTTTTATGTTAAATAAAAGAAACCACTTATTCATATACACTACATGGTCATCTCATGGGACTTGTCATGCAAAAAAAAAAAAAAAGTTTTCTAGGAAAAAAGTAGTCATAGGCCCAAAATGGTTTATGTCAATGGTTTTCAAATCACCTTTCAAAGTCATCATTATTCCTGAAAAGTGCCTTACTGTTTACTGTGAAAAATGGTGAAGAGATTGAGCAGGCAAGGTCTGCTGCCAGTACAATTTCTTTTTACTGCATGCTTAATCTACATTCATAAAGTCAGCTTTATAAATGCAGATTTATCAAGCAGGATAAACCTCGAATTCCATTGTAATTGATAATAGATTTTTGTATTACACATATTATTTTCTTATTTAGAGTATTATGCGTGCATGGAGAAGGCATTCCGTTTGATGCTTCTGTGAGAGAACTGTTTCGAAGGTATCTATGAAGAAGTCATAACCTTTCCGATCAGAATATGGATTAGAGGCTAATCGTAATTGATATATTTAGGTCAAGTGTATCAGCCCTCGGCTTCCCTATAACCTAATTTCTGTTTCCATGATGTAATGGGATTGAGAACTGTTACCTCAACTGTTCTTTCTCCTTGAAGGCTCTATTGCTTCATGACTCTGGGTTGAAAAACAGGCCTCTGATGAGCCTAATTGTGCATCTTCTCAACATTGCATCAAATGATACTTGGGAGACCTTGAAGATCACTAGCATTCAAGGTTTAGTTACAGAAGAAGAACGTATCATTTGGAGATTCACTTAAATTAGATGTGGGTGTGGATCGTGAATAATGCAACATGGTGGCGTGCTGAAGAGTGAAGGCATAAAATGATCTCTGGCATCCGGAGGGGACTGCTTTTACCAATCCTTCCAACCCGGCAGCCACAAGCATCTCCCTTACCGGGTTTCTCCAACACCAGAATCAGCAAGAGGATATCTAGGACCAATACAATTACGAAGTAGGTGATCAGAAGGACTTCGAATATACTGAGCTTCCTCGCCATCTAGATGGACACAGATAACAGGGTTAAAGGAAACCACAAAGCTCCATCGATCTAAAAGAATACATAAACATCATGATTAGAATGGGAACTCCTTTTCGAGATGACTTGATTATTAGCATTCCTCTTTACACGATCCAGAGAATATTTGTTTCCACTCATCACGGTGTCTCCAGTTAGCTCTAGCCTGTGCATCAAACACCTCTTGGGCTCATGCCTTTTTCGTCTACAGAGGGATTGAGTATTGTCCAAGGAAAAAAATATACCAGACATAGAGAATTGGAGGGAGAGAGGGAGAAGAGAAATAGAGTACTGGAGAAAGATGGATGGGAGGTCGAGATGGCTCAGAAAGCCCTTTCAGGTGCCACTTTGACCCTCATACCCACTCTGGGCCGTAGAGAGGAGGGTACACTCGGGGAGGGAAAAAGTAGCAAAACCTGAATTCACGTCTTCTCATTCTGATCCCCAGGCCATGAGGCTGAGGTGTTTAACTGTTCAGAGGCCACTAACTCTTTTCCAAGTCTGATAACAGCAATGAACCTGATCCTGAATTCTGACATGAAGCTTGCTTGCGTGTTCACAGCATATAAATGCATATAAATTTGGTGGCTCACAGGAGCCCTAAAGATCATGCATAGACCCAAGCTTTTAAAAAATATTTAGTGTATGAAGGGTAAACAGAGTTGGGAATCAAAGTACTTCGATTTGTGTCTCGAGATTCGTATTAACGGACAGTATTGTAACTATTTGAATGTGTGTTACTTCACCTACAAAATAAGGTCAGATTCTGGAGGTATTCTCATTCATCTCCTCTAATTATAATAAATGTAGCATTATATGACATTCTTCAACTACAGCGATTCACGTCACCGCTCATTCCCATCATCCCACATGTTGGCTATACTTTGAAATTTATCACCTCTAGAATTATCTCACTTCTGAACTCTTAACCCCTACTTGCTATTTACTGGCATGAGCAAAAAAAAAGGGGGGGGGTTCTATAGAAAGTAACTTCACAGCGTGATCTGATCATAAATACCTAGCTGGGCACGTCATGGTGGGTAAACACGCCCCAAGCACATAACGTTTTAGTAAAAGGCTTCTCTTTGCCATAAGCAAGCCCTGTCTGTTGTTTCTATGCATCTAGGTTATCACACCCTTCAAATAACCCATAACCACCCAGGAGAGCACATCATCTCCTTAGCTCTCTTGCAATCCACCACCCACCTTGCTTTCTCCCACCTTCGTGGAATCTTCCTGAGGTTCCCTCCTTAAGTTCAAACGCATAAAAGCAGCTGCGAAACTGTTATTCGCTGAGCTTTTGAAATCTTGCTCCCCAGCATAGGTCAGCAGTTTGGCTCAGATAAACTCATAAACGTTCTCTAAAGGTTTGGACACTGTTCAGAAGCTCGTGCCCTTTCGCTTTCACATTACACTGTTCCTTATTCTTCGATCACACTGAGGCTCTTGTTCTTGTTTCTTTTCTTTTAATCTCTTAGTCTCTCCTGGCTTTTTTTTTTTCTCTGACAGAGGCCTCAATATCTCTTATTGCTCTCATCTTCCTTGCTCCCTTATCGGCTTCTGCTACCTCAATCTATCCGATGATCTAAACATCAGCCTTCCGGGTAGATGCTCTCGGCCCACTGTAGGAGCCAGTGGGTTCACCTCCACCCGGATACACTGGGCCTGGAAGCTGACGGACAATCTTGAGAGCTCCTCTCATTTTTCACTGCAGAAATTTGAAACGTGATCCTTCTTTTCAAGCCCCAACTTGGTCATCTCCACTCTTACTCTCTGTCAGTATCATTTCCGACATCATAGACAAAACAACTATTTTGCAGAAACGATTTCACCTCCCTACTTCTCAGCCCAGGCTTTTCTATAAAAATGTTCCTTATCTAGGTAAATTCTCATCTTTTTCTTTCTCTTCTCGATAGGAGAGTTTTTCCTTCTCTTTTCCAAGCATAATCCTTGTCTCTATTCTCCAGTACTCACAGCCTTTGACTCTCTCAAAATCTTATTCCACCAATCATCCCTCTTCTTCCTTGTATGATGAAACTCTCCCTCTGGATTTGCTCTTTCCTCCTATAAATACATCCCGTCACCCTAAATTCTCTTGATGACTCTGCGCTCTTCTCTAAACACCACTATAACTTCCTTCTCCCTTGCATAGCTAACTCTCCCAAAAGTTACTGTCGCACTATCTGCGTTACCTTCCTCATCTATGACTGGCGTGGCTTCCGTTTCTTGCATTCCGCTGAAACTGCTCTGGCTAAGTAAGGTCACCAGCGATTTAGCTGCTGAATACAATGGGCACTGTCTTAACCACCGAGCGCATCAACTACTCCTCCCTCTGTAAAATTCTTCACCTTTGGATTCTTTGATATCATTCCATCCTGGTGGTTTTCACCTACTTTTCCGGCTCCCCTTCAATGCTCTTTGTGGCCCTCTGTTTCATGAGATGTCGACTTTCTCTGCATTTTCCTGATAGGCCCCCTTCCCACTCTCCTTGAGCAATCTCTGCCATTCACGTGACTACATATAACAATTGAGGACGATCCAACCTGGATTTCTAGCTCGGAGATTTACATTCATATAGTCAGTTGCTTACTGGATGTCTCATTTGGATGTCCCACAGACTTAACCAAATTCAACATGTTTACACGTGAAATCAACTCTCCCCATACCCGTGTTCCAACTTCTGCCAATTCTGCCAAATTGGCTGCTCCTCAAATAATTCATACCTTGAGGAACAGAATCACAATTTCTTTAAACACCTAGGTGACTTTTTTGAGTCCCCTCTTTCTTTTAGTTCTCAAAGCCCGTTGCCAGTTCAGTCGGAGTACTTTTCCCAATATCTTTCGAATCTGCTCCTTCCTCTCCAGCTGTGCTGGAAATACTTTCATCGGGCCATCGGTTCTGCCCTGACCTGTGACCACAGCCTCCCCACGGGCTCCCTGCCTCCACTCTTTCTGTTCCTGATGTCTACTAAACGCACTGTAGCTGAACTGATCTTCCTACAGCATGAGCAGGCAGCGAAAGAAGTTTGAGAGGCTCACCCTATAGACTCGCAACACCTAATTTAGTTTCCTGTACATAAAGTCCATGACTCACTACCATGGCAAACACATCGTCCATCAGTTAGCCTCCTTCTCCGAGTGTTGTTTTTCTCCATGAGGAGACTTTCCTTTCTGGCCTCTACAAACCAGAAGCGGGAAGCAGGCTCCTTAATCCTCCTGGGGGAGCAGGTTCAGCACCTGAGGCTCAGGAAGGTCAGGACGCTCTGGGGACAATCCCAGGCATTTTTCTGCCATTGGAACTATTATAATCCAGGCAGAAGGCAGGAATAGGGATTCCTAACAGTAGAAATTCTTCTGCACTTAGAAATCCTCCCTGATCAAAGGCACTTTTCTGTATCAAACACAATTTTAGAATAATTCGAATCCAGATTATTAATAGCCTTAATAATCATACAGCCATTTCCTTCTCTTCCCCCAAAGATGCATTCACTTTCCTTTTAATCCTTGCTACTTTCGGCTAGCTACCAGAAGGTTCTCATCTGGCCATTTGTTCCTTGGTTTCTCGCAGTGAGAGAGAAACATCACACAGTCGACCTTCCCATTTGTCCTACCCCCTCTCAAACACACACACACACACACATACACACACACACGTACACACATACACGCACACACACGCACCCCCCCTACACACACACACACACACACACACGTGCGCGCACACACACACATACATGCACACACGCATACACACACGCACACACACGCACCCCCCTACACATACACACACACACACACTCACACACTTCTCCTCTCCAGTGAGCCTGCGACTCTACACACTGCCTCATCCCCACTCCAAATAGTCGATGTAAAGGGAAAAAAATATCAGGTCCAGAAGAAAAGTCTAGGTTGTCCAGATCACTTAGCAGAGGGGACAGTGACATGCACAAGAAGAAAGGGGCACTCCTTGTCCAGAGCACACCTGCAGCGGGGAAAGCACTCACCTCATAGCTGTATCTTCTTCGCTGCTTCTATCCCTCAGCTGTTCTTACGGAGCACTGAGCAAAGGTGACTGGGCCAATGCAGCCGGCTTCTGGCAGGACTGATTTATTGCTCTGTAAAGTTCATGGCGATTGGAGAAGCGCATTTTCTGATAGACCATAAAAGGAACGCTTTCTTTCCCTGTGACATGAAGGAAGCTTCATTTGTTAATAAAAGGGAAGGCGGAGCTTTATTCTAATAGTTATGCCTCTGCGTTCCCGTTCCTATCCAATTACTTTGCTTGTCACATAATATTATACTTGCTTATCTGAGTACGCAGCTGAAAGAGCTCAGAGCTAAGGTCTTCCCCATCTTCTTCACTGTGTATCGCCTGTGCTTCACGCTCTGTACAACATCCATAAGTATTTTTAAATATACAGCTATTCGTTGAAAAGTGAGCCAAAGAATGAATAGCTCTTGGCTGATCGCACCGTGCCTTTCACCGTTTTTGCCTCCCGTAGGTCTCTTGGTGCAACTCAGCTCTTCATTAATTCAGGTAAGTCTTCCCACCAATCGTTTTAAATAAGAAAGTACCATTAAAGCAGAAATTATAGAATCTTAAAGTAGGAAGACACCTTCACTGGAAATTTGTCACACTCTGACTGATCGGCATCTTTTAAAAAGCCTTCTTCTAATACTTAAGGAAATTCCCACTTGGAGAATTCTGCCTCCCCAAGGAAGAGGCTAGACATTTTCTTTCACAGTCTCCCTTTCAGCCAAGGTCAAGGCAAGCGGCCTGTGCTCAGCCTGTGATCCAGAAGAAAGCGGAAAAAAAGGTGGAAGTGCCATGTGGAATCCAGGATGGCGAAGAAACGTCATTTTAGAGGCAGTAGGGACGGGAGACCTCTCGGCACCCTGTGCTCAGTCTTGGCTTTGCAGGCTGGCAGACATGTGCCAAGGGCAGTGGTGGTGGGACCTGCCACAGAATAACTGAGCTGTCGT